TCTGGATTTGAAAGATGCAGGAAAAGGGCGGAGCCTGTTGGGATGATTTATATCCTTATTTGATGAATACATATAATCCACCTTTTTTCATGGTGTATCTGTTAGTGAACAAACTAATCGAATTCTCCTTACAGTAGATCCAACGATTCATCAACATCACAATTGTCAATAAAATAAATAACACAATATATTTTTCGTATGTAAAACTGGTCACTTTTTTTCGATGCACGGGTTGATATGAAGCAATTAAAACAGTGCAATCTTTAATATCATTGCATTATATTGTCACATTTTTTATAATGTGAAGTGATTGGATTAATCCAGTATAAAACATTTTGTGGTGTGAAGAAAAAGGTTGCATTATAATCTTCATTAAATTAATGAATGCATTGATGGAAGTAAGGACTTGTAACTTTATTAACAAAAAAAGAACCAAGTCACTGAAAAAAGAAATAGATAAATCACATTTAAAATTCTCTTCAGAATGAATTTAAATAGTCCTTTTAATTATTAAATAGCTAATATAAAATGCAGCGCAAAAAATAACTATTGCTGGTTTATAATTTGGTCCTAAAAAGAGAAAAATAGAAAGGGGTACCAAAATTTTTTAATAACATTCCTTGATGAAAACGAATTATTTTTTATACATGTATTTACCTCCATTATATTTGGTGATAGCTTCACTGGCACCTTTCCAAGATAATCTTCCAAATAAGCGATACTAAAATTTTTGGAAAAGGTCATTAAAGTCGAACTTTTTAAATTTTTAAGTTATATAAGGTAAACTTACATGAATTGGAGTTGGTATACCGAATAAAACATGACCCCATAAACTTGGACCAAATGTCATTAAAACTCTAGCTAGAGAAGGTAAACTACCCATTTCTTTAGTTAATTCATCCAGATAAGAATACATGTCGGCTTGAATAGTATGTCTCGCTGAACTGTAAAAATGTTTTCTAATTTCTCTTTGATTTCTTCTAATATCAGCATCCATTTCAACTGGTGAAGGTATTTTAGGTAATAAACCTTTCCAACAACTAGTTACGTATTGAGCTTGTATATCACTTACAGGCATAAGAGCACCGATAGCTTGAATCAAACCAATGAAAGCGATATTAGGAACGTTTGGGGGAAAAATATATTTATATAACCATACTAAATTTTCACGATATTCTTCTTCAAATTGTTGTCCAATTTCTTTCCCCCCATTAACAATTTCTTTATCTAAAAATTCAAATTTAATATTATAACCAGTAGCGTAAATGATAACATCAATATCTTCCAATACACTTCCATCAACAAATTCGATTGAATTATCTTGTCTCAATTCCTTAATATTCGGCTTACATATAATTGTACCGGTATGTACACGCTCAAAAAATTCAGTTTTAACAGTTGGGTGACCTTCCGTAGGTTTTGATTTTGGTTTAAATCCTTTTGGATGTGGTCCAACCGATATACGTGTTATAATTTTTATTATTAAATTTTTCATAAATAATGGCAAATAAAGATTGATTCGAGATTGTAGATGATCGATCGGTGTATTTCCAAATACGAGACGTGGTAAAATCCAAGGAAGCGTTCCCCTACGTGCACACAAGTAAACTTGTGATGCAATTCCAGATAACTCGACTGAAATATCCATACCACTATTACCACATCCAACAACAACTACTCGTTTGTTATCAAAGTCACTCGCACTATTTTTTTTTTTTTTAAAAAAAAAAAAAGAAATCATTATACGTGCATATATTAAAAATAATTAATAAGTAAAGTTTCATCGTTATCACATACCGTCGATAAAAATGGGAATGCATTTGCTTTCCGGGAAATGTATCCATTCCTTCGTATTTAGGAAGACGAGGATATCTATGATGACCGGTACAAACCATTACATAATCAAAAATTTCATCACATTCTTCTTTATTTTCATTTAAATATTTTACATTCCACTTATTATTATCACGAATTGAAATTCTTTGTACGGGAGAATTTAATCTGATATGTGGTAACAAATTAAAATTTTCCATATACATATCAAAATACATTGCAACCGCTTTATTATGTAAATAAGATGGCCATTCGTATGGAACAGGAAAGTCTGTGAATGACATCACCTCTTTACTTGTATTGATTATGACAGTTTTATAAATTGATGAATGTGGGTCATGATTTTTATCATCAATTTCTGTATATCTCCAAAGTCCCCCCGTTTGCCCTGATGCTTCAAAACACACTGGTTCAAATCCATCATCAAGGCACTGTTTAATGCTAGTGAGCCCTGATGCTCCTGCTCCAATAATTGCTACACGATGTTTTGACATTTTTTAAAAAAAAAATTTTTTTTCTTTTGAAGGTCTATTTATATTGTAACAATTGATCGGCAACAAGCACTCCCTTATATGGGAGGGTCATTGAGATGAGAAACTGCCGGGGTAAATAAATAATGAATTATAAATGTTAAACCTGAGCATATTTAGTAAACGTTTTCTATTGCAAAGGGTTACATGTCATGTTAGTATCTATTTACAAAACAATTATATGATATGCAATGGGATAATCGACATTATTAATTTTATAAAAGTCGTTGTATAAAAGACGCGAATCAAATAAATACTTCTATTAATCTCAAATTTTATTTAAAAATTCCCAGAAACCTAGTGTTCCGGATTATAATCAACGACACTCGCAAAAAGATCAAATGAACATGTTCTTATTTATTTATTTATTTTTTTTTTTACTAATAAAGCTTTAGCTGATATCGGAATTATCTTTCATGCAAAACTCGATAAACCTGATAAACTCGGTTAAACTCGGTAAACCCGGTAAATTTGTGTAGTACTCAAAATAATCAAGTTTTCTCTCTCAAAAAATTTATGTCGAATCCTATCAAAAAAAAATAATATATTATTAAAACGCAGATTACTTTATCTTATAAATTCCAACGACATGTCTTCTATCAGGAGTGAGACATATAATTTCAATTTATTAGTTTTCATACATTAATCATATTGATAACAGAAACTAGGCTAGTTTAACTTTATTGCAAATATTTCAAAATAGCTTCATCAACTTCATCAACATCAACTTGTTCATTAGTTGGCATGCCCCATCCTCCACCGCCAGGTGTACAAATGACAATACGATCACCTACGTTTACCTTAACGGTATTTCTACCTCCTAAATTAATGGTACGAACTTCACCATCATTTTCATTCCGACGAATCCACAAGTTAAGTCCTTTTGACCCATTTTTACCACCTTGTAATCCGTAAGGATGGTGAACGCGTCTTTCTGAAAGTATACTGACTTGAAGGGGTTCACGAAACTCTATATCTCGTATTACTCCATTTCCTCCTTTATGAAGTCCTGCACCTCCAGAACCTTTTAAAATGAACGGATTACATTAACAAATGTCGTAATGTGACCTTGATATTTATAAATAAACGTTAACTTTTACCTCTTCGAAGCGAAAACTCTCGAAGTATTATTGAATGATCGTATCTTTTTTCAAGTATTTCCGGATCTGTAATTCTAGTATTGGTCATATGCTACAAAATCAATCAAAGTTGAAAAAATGAATACAATTTTTATAACTTATAATTTATTAACGTTTTAAAATAAACATACCGTATGAACACCACTTTGACCTGTCCAGGTGGGTCCAGCCCCACTACCTATAGTTTTTTTTTAAAAAAAAAAACAGATTAATTGAAATGCAATCCTTTTTTTTTTATAAAAAAACGTATAAAAAAAAAAAAATTTAATTTTACCTCCCGCAATCGTTTCATAATAACCCCATCCTTCTATAACCTTGGTTCCGTCCTCGGTTTTTCCGCCTTTTCCAAAAGTAAGGTTATTACAATCGCCTTGACTGGCTGCACACGCTTGAAATGCTTTGAGAATAACGTCAACAAGACGTTGTGAAGTTAATACGTTGCCGCCAACGACGGCAGCTTTGTCGGAGGGATTTAAAAAAGATTTCTCTGGAATCTTGATATCAATGGGGGTAAGGCATCCTTGGTTTAAAGGTATGTCATTTGCAATAAGAGAGCGAAGACAATAAATGATCGCACTATATGTGACCTTTTTTAAAGTAAAAAATCAAATTAGATGAATATAAAAAAAGAAAAAAAAATTATAATTTAATTTACAATACCGAAGGTGGAGCGTTGTAATTTGCTACACGTTGAAGTTGAAGTTGAATTAGTATTTTTAATAAAAGAAGGTTACACGCAATAAGGTTAAGCGTACCGTAAACTTCTGGTCCAGTACCGCTAAAATCAAATTCCGCTGTTCCCTCCTTCTCATCTATTGTAATTTTTAACTGAATCGGACTTCCATCATCCATAAAATCAATGGCTTTCAATACCGTACAACCTATTCGACGACTAACATCTTTTAACAGTTCTTTCACGGATATTTCGGCGTTTTTCCTTATGTACATCATGTAAGCCAAAACAACATCTAACCCATATTCTTGAATAAGAGCTTTGACAAGTGTGATACCCTTAAGATTGGCTGCCACTTGAGCTTTTAAATCAGAAACGTTGTCACGTAAACATCTAGTACCACTACATCCAGGATATTTTGCAGGTTGATTCACAAGAATATCGACCAAACCATCATAATCAAACTTTCCTTTAGAAACAAGCTTAAATGATTTGATCGCAGCTCCTTCTTGATACAACTCTTTTGAATTTGGAGGCATCGAACCTAAAATTGTCATAGGTTATCATTAATATGTAGATTAATGATTTAATATTATTTCATTGATTCTTACCAGGTAAAATGCCACCGATGTCCGCATGATGTCCTCTAGATGCAACAAAAAATACAATCTTGCCTTCGTTGAATACAGGTGTAATCACAGTGATATCTATAAAACATAAAAGAATTATAAATTTAGAACATCAAAAAAAAATTTCATTTTTTTTTTTTAATCAAGTTACCTGGTAAATGTGAACCACCGGCTTGTGGATGATTGGTTAAAAGTACATCTCCCTCTTCTAATTTATCTTTATAATAATTCATTTGATATTTTACCGTATGACTTAAACTTCCAAGATGTACAGGAATATGCGGTGCTAATATAAAGTAAAAAAAAAATTTGATAAGGTAAATAAACAAATCACAAAGACGATATAATACTTTAAACCTTTAAAATAGATCGTATACCATTAGCAACTAAACTGCCATCAGCTCCAAAAAGTGCGCAAGAAAAATCCAATCTCTCTTTTATATTTGTAGAAATAGAAGTTTTTTGTAAAGTATGTCCCATTTGTTCTGCAATACTCATAAATCGATGACCAAATATTGCAAGTTGAATGGGATCCAATTTGGTTGAAACTTTTGATCTAACATCACTTCCAATAGTAATCATTATATGTGAAGAAGTAATTATTGCACTACAATCGGGAGCTACAATAATTGTAGAATTTACATCTATAATCATAGAAGGACCAGTGATTTTATCACCAATTTTAAGATGTTCTAAAAGGTATATTGGAGTTTCAACTCTTCCATTTTCAAAATAAATCAAAGTTTTCTCTTTAATTTGTGAAGGATCTACCAACTTTGAATCAATCTTTTGGATTTCATCAAATACATCATGTTGAGTAACTTTAAATCCTTTAGCTATACCACGAATTCTGATATCATCTACATAAATACTTCGATCAGGAAATGTAAAACCAAATTCTTGTTGATATTGTTGAATAAAAGATTCTGAAAAATTCCAAGATGATTCTGGTTTTAAAACCATTAAGGCAAAATCAGTTCCATGATAACGTAAATTTAAATAAATTTCATGTTTAATATATGATTCATCTTTAAATCCTTGTGATTTAAGTTCTGCAGTACATTTATTACATAAAATTTGAATCCTTTCTTGTAATTTTAACAAAGATGTTTCAGAATAAATTTCAGCACTTGGTTCTTGTACTTCATAAACAACATTTGCTAATGATAAACCATAAGCTGATAAAACTGAACTATATTGATGAATTAAGATCTTATGAATACCCAGATTTCTAGCTATTGCACAAGCATGTTGTCCTCCAGCACCACCAAAGCATGCTAAAATATGATTTGATGTATCATAACCTTTGGCTTCAGTTAAAAGACGAATTGGTCGACACATGGTTTCATTAGCAACTTTTATAAACCTATTATTATTATTTTTTTTATTTTAAAGATAAAATTTATTAATAAACATACATAAAATTTCATTAAGTTAATAAAATTTTAAAAACTTACCCATATGCTATTTCATCTATACTCATTTGCTTATTATTATTATTATGCATAAATATATTGATTTCTTTTGCTAACTCTTGAAATTTTTGAGTTGTAACTTCTAAATCTAATGGTTGATCTTCATTTATTCCAAAGATCTTTGGAAAATAATCTGGAATAAGTCGACCAAGAATAAGATTTGCATCTGTAACAGTTAAAGGTCCATTTTTTCTATATATATAATTAAACATTAACATTAATATTATAATATAAATAAAATAATAAATAATATTTTAATCAAAAATTTATTTTATTTACCTATAACATGTAGGTCCAGGATGTGCACCAGCACTCTTATTATAATAAAAAAAAGAATTTTAATATAAAAAATTACTATAATTAAAAAAAGAGTTTTATTATAAATATATATATACTTCTGGACCAACAACAAACATTCCATTACGAAAAAATAAGCATGATCCACCACCAGCAGCAACCTATAAATAAAATTTTATAAAATATAAAAAAAAATGAAAATTATCATATTTAAAATAAAATTAATAATAATATATTAATGAAATAATACTGTATTAATATCTAATTGAGGAGCTTGAATTGTTACACCAGCTGTTGTTGTTTCAAATACATGTTCATAATGACCATTATATCTTGATACATCTTAAATAAAAATTTTTTGATTTATAAGATTTATATTAATAAAAAAAATAATATTTGATAAAAAAAATCATACCTGTACTTGTTCCTCCCATATCAAATCCAATAACTGGTATATTTTCTTTTTTATTATATGAAGTTAAAGCATAACCTAAGATAAATATTTTTTAATAATTGAGAATTATAAATTATAAATAAAATTAAAATTTTATAAATAAAATAGTATAATTTACCAACAACACCAGCAGCAGGACCTGATAATATAGCTTTAAAACCAGAAAATTTATTAACTGGTACAAGACCACCATCACTTTGCATAAATTCTAATTTAACTTTATTTTTTAAATTTTCATCAAAACCAGAAATAAAACCATTAATATATTTATGAATACATGGTGTTAAGTATGCATCA